TTTGCTGAAAACGGCGCCGAGACAGTAACACATTATTTATCAACGAAGCTCCCTTCCTCTCTCTCTCTTTCGTTACCCTATTCCCCACAAATTTGTACATTTCTTGCCCAGTTATAGGAATCAGTGAATTTCGAGAATTGAGGAAGAAGAAATACAGGAAGTGAAGGTAGAAGATTTTGAGACTTTATGGGGATCTAGCTGTTTGTTTTGTAATTTTATGAACAGTTCTTTGAGACCTTTCGTAGTTATTTGCTTAACTTTTCAAGATAAGAAATATGATAAGCTAAGTCTAGTTAAATTTATCGATGTAGAGCTGTTGAACCAAAATCTGTATAAGTATGCCCCGTCATTTCCCCCTTTGTAAGGGTTTTATTAATTCGCATTGGATTTCCACTTCGTCAATGCTATTCAGTGTTTCGCGTTTTACAAAAAACCAATTTTCTAATTTTTTTGACGCAGGTCAGATTTCTTTTACACAGACTGAGGTCAGATTTTTTGAGTTTCCCGCATTTCTGTTGTAAAGAACTGGAGGGAGAGGGTTTAAGGAAGGTTTGAACGATTAAACAGCATGATGTTACGTTAAAATTTGGTTTGTTATCAATTTCCGCAAAAAAAAAAAAAGACCTGTTTCCTTCACCTGTGATTTTTATGCGTTTTTTACATCTATGCAATGCAAGAAACGCATATTAATGAGGAATTGTTTGTGTGTATTTTTGTGTACGTTTGAACTGATTTTTTTTCTCAGGACCTATAAAAGCTACAGAGCTGAAACTTTGGAAACTTAATCTGCATGCACGTAGAGCCCCAATCCCCAAAATGAGCGCTCTTACCCGCATGGTGTCCACGTACAGGCCCGTCAAATTTTTTGGCAGGGAAGCTGCTAACCCAGGAATCTGAAAAGCTAGAAAGCTGAAATGTTAATGGGATTTTCCCCATCCATTGATGAGCTCAAAATTACCCCACGGGTATGCGTGTAGGTAAGTTACTAATACGGAAATCTGAGAAGCCAGAAGATTGGAATTTTGAGAGGATGCTCCCCATTCAAGTAGGTATCAATTAGTTCAAACCCAGTCCTCAGGTTTGCGTGGTTCCCACGTATGGGCCCGTGGAAGTTTTTTTCGGGTAAGTCGCTAACTCGGGAAGCTAAGAAGCTAGGGGATTGGAGTTTTAAGAGGACATTCCCCGTCCACGTAGATGTTAAAGAGCTCAAACCCAGACACCGGGTGTGTGCGATAACTACGTACGGGCCCGTGAAGGTTTTTATCGGGTAAGTGGTTAACTCAGGAATCTGAGAAGCTAGAAGACTAGAATTTTAAGGGGTGTTCCCTATCCACGTAAGTGTTAATGAGTTTAAACCCAGACATCGGACATGTGTGGTACCCACGTACGGGGCTCATGGAAGTTTTTACGGGTAACTTGCTAACTCGGAAACTTGAAAAGCTAGAAGACCGGAATTTCAAAGGGATGTTTCCCATCCACGTAGGTATTAATGAGTTCAAACCCAGCCTCCGGGTGTGCGTGATTCATATGTACGGGCACGTGAATTTTTTGCGGGTAAGTTGCTAACTAGAAAAGCTAAAAAGCTCAAATTTTAAAGGGGTTTTTCCTGACAGTCCTGGCGACCAGTTTAAATTCGTTTAGCTAGAAGCATCTGCAAGAAAAATCGGTGCCGTTAGCGCCAAAAAATTGTGGGGAACTATGCAAAAAACGCATCTTCGCACCGGCAGTCGGTGCGTTGATCATTCGTTTCCCTCGTAATTCAGGTTTCTTGTGCGCAGCCTCAAAGATGAGGGAGCGCATTACGCCTGTTGTGGCAATCCACGGTGGTTGTGGTATTATCGGTGAGATGGGAGCGGAGCGGGAAGGGCACTGTCGTGCAGCACTGACAAGTAGCGTGAAAGCTGCGATGGATGTATTGAGTGGAGACGGTACGGCGGTTGATGCGGTGGTTGCTGCGATCGCGGTGATGGAGGATGATCCCATGGTGCGCTCCTTATCATTTCTTCCTGCCTTTTCAACTAGTGTTATTTTAGCGTTTTTTTTTTTTTCCACTCATTTTACAAATTTTTTTTTGTCATAGCTCATTTAACGAGTAGATTGTGAGCATTTTTGTACCGTTTGATAAAGTGTACAGTGACTGAAATCGCGAAAAAAGAAGAAAATCCAGGCTGGAACGCACTAGGCTCTCCGGTGAGATCATGTGTTTTTGCACTAAACCCGCAGATCGCTATTAGCAAGAATGATCCTTAAGCTGTGGCCTAACACTTGGGCTCATATTGGCCGTGCTTTGGCCCCTTCCGGCATGCAGGAGAAAAGGCGACAGCTGGGATGAAGGTGGTGCATTATAGAGCCACACGGACATCCAGGTGAATGATTACCGGTTTTTTGCATGAAGTCAGGTCGTTATTTCGGT